TACAGCGTATGCATTATAGCTGAAGGATTTGGGGAAAAATATTGAATTGCGATTTTTCTGACAAGCATTGATATTAGATTTAGACTTTGACAAACTTTAGTGATCCACCAGGGAAATTATTTGGACACAGTACCTCACACATCACAATATATTATAATAACAAGGAGCAACAATATAAATGGAAATAAAAAGGTCTAAGTAAGTAGCAAAAAATAAAAATAGAAAGGTGTCAATAAGGCATAATTATATAAATGTATATGTACAAGTAAAAATAAAATAAAGAAATATAATAATACAAATATATTTTAATGTTATAATAATAGGATACTTTTCACATTTTTCAATGCGTGCGGAGAGTTGGCAAAAATCTGTAATCGGTCTATAGATCGGCAAACTAATACCAGAATCCCATGCATTTTAGAACATGTTTGCAAAGGTCTGTACAGCGTTAGCCATTTTCAGACAGAATAAGACGAGATATTTTGCTGTTCTTGGAGGAGGAAATGATTTTACGTCAATAATTGCATCCTTTAAAAGTGCGGTACTAGATTTTTGCTGTTTGAAAAACATGAAAACAGACCTCGCTCTTTTTGAACTATTTGCAGTGGTCCAAAGTTCTTCCTGACTTACCTTATGCATTTTGAACATCCTAATCATTGACCGTGATGAGTTTATAAGCTCTTTTCACAATTCTCCAGACCAGAGCGCGATTTTGCTGTGACGGTAGTGCTAAAAACAATAACTCGCCTGCTAACCTGCACTTCCTGATTATCAAACCATAAAATGTAATCTGTAATCTGATCATAAAGAACTGACACAGATGGAACTACAATAGGTGAGACGATTTGTGCTGTTGAAACAAGTCTCTCAGACAGAAAATCAAAGTCACAAACTACCTAGCACTGCCAACAGTTTTTCGGTTAGTCACTCTCACTTTTTTTGCTAAAAAATCAAACTCCTGAACAGGACCATGAACGCTCGTATTGATCACAGGCTCCTGGAAATGTGCTCTTTCAATCCATTTTGTGTTTATTCTTGAGTTCTTAAAAGTGTTTGCTATTATATGCATTGTGACACCGTGGTAACTCCTAAACATTCCACCATTAGGGATACATGTAGCGCAGCCCAAGAATGATGTCTAGGGGTGTGCAAATATATCGAAATAGTAATATATCGTATCGTTAATGTGATGATACAGTATCTATGTCGTGGGCTGCTGTATCGATATATCGCCAAGAGTATTTTTTGGTATATTTTACTAAATTATTTTGTTACATCTCTACAGTTTTGTTGCTTGTTTAGATATCGAGCCAACACATTTAACTTTTTCACTGTTTTGATGAGTAAAATAGGTGTTTCATATGAACTTTGCACAAGAAGTGGTTTAACAAAGACTTTTAGTATCAAAGCCATGATTTAACCGTTTTTTTTTTATTGAACCGTATTTAATTGATTTTGAAATATATCATATTGAATCATAAGCTCACTGTATGAAGATACGTATCATATCATGGCCTGTGCAGCGAGGCATGCATCATATTGTGGCCTATGTATCGAGGTATGCATCATATTGTGGCCTATGTATCGAGGTATGCATCATATTGTGGCCTATGTATTGAGGTATGTATCGTAGCGTGTCCTATGTAGCAAGGTCTGTATCGTATCACGGCTTATTTATCGAGGTATGTATCGTAGCGTGTACTATGTAGCGAGGTATGTATTGTATCATGGCTTTTGTATCGAGTATGTATCGTATCGTGGCCTGTGCATTGAGGTACATATCGTGTCATGGCCTATTTATCGAGGTATGTATCGTATCGTGGCCTATGTATTGAGGTATGTATTGTAGCGTGTCCTATGTAGCGAGGTATGTATCGTATCGTGGTTTATGTATCGTAGCGTGGCCTATGTATCGAGGTATGTATCATATCATGGCCTATGTATCGAGGTATGTATATTATCGGCAACTTCTTATTGATACCCAGTCCAATTGATGTCACTGCAAAATATCAGTACAATATATTTTTGTACTGTGCTAGACAAATTTTGTGTCCATTCAAACTGCGATTTCGATTCCATTGCGTTTAACTTGCAGCCCAAGAATTTATCAGTCCAGCGTTCAAATCCCGGTATATCTGTATGAATTATTATGAATCTGCATGTGCACCAGCTAATCTCATTTCTTATAAGAATGAGGTCTTGATATATTTCCATCCAATATGTGCTTAGTATCCAAAAAGTTGGCCTTGGTCAGCACACGGCGGACTACTCTATTATTAGGGGTCAATGAGGGTCAATTGGATCAATGCGAGCGCACTGGGAGAGCTGTGGGCAGTGTGTCCATGTCTTATCAGTGAGCAGCAGAGCCTGTTCACTAACACATAATGATGTATGTGTTTGTGCTGGGAGAGAATGCTGCTAATCTAATCCCAGGTGTAATGGACTCCAGGAGACAGACTGTGGGTTTGAGAGCATTCCCTGGAGTAAGCTAATTTCAGAATACATCTTGTATTTATTTGTAGTTTTATTCATGCTCAGACTTACTCAAGTAGGTCTGTTGTAGCGGTGGAATAGCAGTGCTAGTTGGGTAAACAAGGCAATAGTAGTAGTAGTAGTAGTAGCAGCAGTAGTAGTATTTTTTGTTGTTGCTATGGCAGGAGGAGAAGAGAGTGATTATAATAATTCAAAGCACAATGGACATGTTCATACTGGCAATGTGGGTTATGTTGGGAACTAAATACATACTGAAAATACACGCTCTGAAAACTTATTTATAGTTACTTTTTAATTTGGTGTTATTCAAAATGTGTTTCCTACAGTAAAGAAACACTTAAACTTCAAAATTCACAGTTTTAATGAGAAAAAGATAAGGCATTTGTCTGATTCAGATTGGACCATGTAACAAAATATGTTACAAAATACATTTTAATGTAGATGATGAATGTGAGTTTGTGTATTTTGCACAAGGACACAACAACAGTTTGGATCAAATAACCATCAACCCTTTAGTTATGCTGTTAGATTTAGTAGTACTAATGGCAGCAGAGAAACTATAAGCGATACAAATGCTTAACTTTGCTTGATTTACTGTACTGGAACTGAACACTAAATCAACTTTTTCAACTTCTGCCACTAAACTGTGTAAGTGTGTTTTAATAGCGTTCATTATATACTGTCCCTAGTGCTTGTGTGGTCATTTTAGTGCAAGCTAGGTATATTTGCAGCTTTCTTGCCAAAAACGTAGCTACTGCAGTTTTAAGTGCTTGGTGGCATCACAGAAGACTGCCCGGATACAGCCAAGTGTTTCTGTTACAAACACCTGACTGCAGGAGCGGAGGTTGAAGTGTGGATGTTTGTTCGACCAAGCACATTCCTCCAGGTCTTGTCAAGTTTATCAGCTCTATAGGCTCTATTCACGAGCCACCTGGCTAGTTCTGCTCCTCTCAAAAACTGCGGATCCACACTTCCCAATCCATTTATTGTGTATTGGAAATTAGTTGAGTCATGCTAAAATAAATCAATATTTAAATATCAGACAGCGGTGAAGTAGTTCTTTACACGCTGTCTGTGATAATGTATCTGTACCTGCTGTCCTGTGACTAATATTTGAATATCAATTTTATCGATTTTAGCACAACTCAGCTAATTCCCAATACACAGTGAATGGAGCGGGAAGTGTGGATCCACAGTTTTGAGAGAAGTGGAACTAACCAGACGGGTCCGTGAACAGGCTCTATTCACACTTACGTTACAAACCAGGAAGTCATTTGGAAAGATGTGATTACAACTTTGTTTGTAGTTACCGACGATGGGCTCGCCTAAAAAGGATCTATTAAAACCAACTGTGATAAAACCCTTTAACTTCTTGAGTTCTTTTTAAAGACAATACAGTAAAGTGTATTTACCTTGTTGACATGTTTTGGCTGCTGCTGCAAGCCATCGTCAGAACTGTCACCGGTGTTGGTCGTGACGTGTCGTACATCAGCTGTTGTTACTTCCTGTAGGCGTGGTCATCCTGATGGACCTCAGGTCGCTCAGACTGACCACGCCTCCCGTCAGTTGGTGTTCTCTGGAGGAGGGTGTCCCAGGTGTGTGAAAGGAGGAACACTCTGTCATCACAGTTAATGCTGTCTGTGCCTTGTTTCCTGATTTCAGTGGCCTCCCTGATCCAATGTTTGAACTTGTTGTTTTCCGATCCAATGACCCAAGCCCTGTCCCAATCCATAATGTGGTTATTTCTTTTACAGTGGTCTGATATGGCGGATTTTAGGTTTTCCTGTTCTGCTTTATCTTTTTGTGTTCTGGTGAGTCTCCCTGATGTTTCCTTTTCACATTCGTTTTGGTGTTCCTTTTTTCGAATGTGAAATGCCCAGCCGGTTTCCCCTATGTATTATTATGTTATTGCATGATTTGCATTGGATTTCGTATATGGTGCTGCATTTTTGTAGCAACCAAAACATGTCAACAAGGTAAAATACACTTTACTGTACTGTTTTTAAAAAGAACCCAAGAAGTTAAAGTACATAAGAAGACAAAATGAACATCTTTGGCTCAGTGTGATAAAACCCATGGAAGTAAATGTCATCAACAGTAAAATGAAGACTGCAGATGTATGTGCTGTTTGGAATCATCTTGAATTTGGCCCCTCATCTCTTCTAATCGCATGTACCCAGTGCACTTGGAGTTTTGTGTCAGTGGGGGAAATTATGAAAGCTGAGGTATGGTTGGAATTGTTGATTAGGTGAACATAACGGAACACCACAATGACATTTAGATGAAGAAAATTGGACCTGGGAAGTTGTAATCACATCTTTCCAAACGTCTTGGGCAGAGTTTAGGTGTTTAGTTCCCTCTTTAGAACAATTTTACTACTTTGACTCATAATTATGCACTATCCTAACGAAAAGAAAGAAAGTTTATAAAAAAAATACTTGCATTAACGTTGTTTCCCCTCTCCTGTGCTCTCTCTTCTGTGTTGTGTGTGTGTGTTGGCGCTGAAGGACAGACCCCCCCCTGCTGGATGCGTTCATCATGGACAAGGCCCTTCTGGATTATGAGGTCTCCATCGACGCAGACTGTAAACTGCTGACTGTGGGAAAGCCCTTCGCTATAGAAGGTAAACTCTGAGAGGGTCTAATATCAGTCCAGTTTCTCTATGGGAATACTTTGAGAAGTGCTGGTGTACGGCTTTGTTTTTGTTGATTGAATCAGAAAGAAATGACAATAAGAATGAGTAGTATGAAGCGTTTTTATAAGCTCTGTACCCAATTTCTCTTATTTTCAAACAGAGGAAGTCACAAACTTTTTAATCTTTAGCAGAAATTTAAAAATTCATATGCACATTTTTACAATTCCCTGATTGAAAGTTCACTTCAGCAAAAGAAGCAACAAATTGTTTTAATATAGAGACTGGTATAAAGTCCAAGTTGTTCAGTTGTATTTGTGAAAGTGAATCACTGAATCAAACATAATCGTAATTTCAAAGAGTTCACTGGGGTGAGCGCTTAGTCCATTACGTCTGACCAGAACAGTTCAAGTGGTGACTCAGGTCTGTAGTAGATGTAGTGGAAAATTGCAATGATATACATAAAACAGAAAATGTGAACTCAGCTATTTTAATTTTCTTTCAGAGCAACTTCAAAGTTATTAGGAACGTAGTTGAAACACCACTTGCCAGAATTGTTCCACAGTGTGAGTAGGGTCACCTCTCCACGGATCTGATCTGTTAACTTGGCCTGGTGGCATCTCCGTGGAGTTAGATAAGTGAATTGCAAAACAGTGGAACATCCCAGGCAAGCAAATAACATTTCAATGGAAACAATACATTCCAACAGAAAAGTTGCACAGTCCATCTTTAATATGAATCATTAGTTTTTACTGCGGCAATAACTGTTCTGTCTAGAGTCCACACAAATTATTTATTCAGCTATAAATAAAGTACACACTGTTCAAATATTTTCTATACAGTTGGTTTATTTGGAATTCAAACAGAAACATCATTCCAAAAGTTTATTTCATCTTTTTATATCCTCCAAAAACCAAACTTCAACCTTGAGTTTGCTTCATATTTTGTCTTATACAACTAAATTAACTATATTGGGTAAAAAAAAGACATCCAGCTGCTCAGATTGGCAGCTCTAGATGATTTTGAAATAATCGCGCAGGACAGCCTTTAATAATAACCAGACGTACAAAAAGAGCCTGTGTCCAAACCTGATTGGCAGATAAAGCTGGACTTCAGTGTGTGAGTTTATAGCGCTGCAGGGGAAGAGAACGCCATCATATATTATTTACACAGTGTCCAGTCTGATAAGGATGAGGATTAGCGCTCACAGTCAAACCCAACCACACATCCAAGCCTGTCAGAAGCACGTAACAAGCCACTTTGGGTTTACTTAGACATACAAAAGTACTAGATCTGTGTAAGATAGTAGCTGGTTCTGTTAAATAAAAGCTCAGTTTGATGCTTGATAACTTTGAAAATACACAAAGGGAGAAATTAGCCAGTTTTTTATACTGATTTAATTTTTTTAAACTGAAATAGCTGTGACAAGTAGAAAGTATTGTGAACACTTTGTAGTGGTAAAAGTACCTATAGTGATAGTAATTTATTTCTAATTTTGGCTATATAATATTGTAGGATGTGTAAGTATGATGTTTTGAAGTAATGGTAGTAGTAGTAGTAGTAGTACAGAGAGTAAGAGACGTATTGATCCCAAATGAAATTCATGTTTAGCTGCAGAAACATACTGCTCTAAAATAAATAAATACATTAAGAATAGCTTGATGGTATAGTATGTAGTAGAAGTTGTTGTAAATAGTAATAGCAGGTTGTATTTGTTTTACATTTTTTACTTTTGTCAATTTGGAGTATATTGATCTTGATATAAGAAATATTGATCTTGAATTGTTTGAAGTATAGTTGTTGTGGTGGTAGTTACAGTAACTGAACTAGAATATGCAAAAATATTGAATATTTATATATTTGGTGATTTAGCATTGTTAACATGGGAGGCTGTGAGTATTTTTTGGTATCTTGTAGCAATATTTTTTGTGCCCAAACTACAGTTTTGTGGAAGGAAGCTTGTTTATGCAGTACACTTAACATATTCACTGTTTTGGGGCCTGTTTACACAAGAGCACTTGCAGGTAAAATGACAAAATATTTTATCGAACGTGTCTTTCGTGTAGGTGGTGTTTTTGGGGCTAAAAACACAAAAATCTGAAACCACCCTCCAGAGTGGAAAAGTTGAATACACTCTGCTGTTGCGTTTACACTGCCCAAGACGCAAAACGCTGGTCACATCTGCTCACGTTGTGTGCGCATTTATGTCACATACATACAGGACACAGAAACAAACATGTCGGATCATTTCTATGCGTCGGACCTTCAAGGTGCTTACAGGAGGCATCCCAACAAATGTACAGAATCTGCAGAAATACTATTAGTGAACAGAGAAGGATCTGCTATTACCTCTGTCAAATTCTGGATACACCAGTTCATGGCAGGCGAGCCAGACGGCATACATATCCGATCGAATTCCACACACTTTTTGCATCACCGTATGCACGCAGATTTCCTCCTGAAAATACTCATCTCACTGAATAAAAAGTGAAGATGCGACGCCACTTTAAATATTTGCAGTTCGTATTTACACGCAGTAGTAATGGTGCTTAAAGTAATTCACAAGTAGTGGTTTAACAAAGAAATATTGTTCCTATAAATGTATTTGGTTCTTAAAAAACAGCAGTATACTGTTTATCACATGTATCGCCATATTCAGATAATATCGAATTGTGTTTCAAATTGCGAGGGACCCTATGATTCCCTGCCCTGATGTGAACTGCTGTACCTGCAGGAGAAGTGGTAGCAGTTTGCCATTCATCATATCATTATCATACATCATCATAGTAAATATTTTGAAGTAGCAGTACCTGAAACCCCTCTAGCTGCCTATACCACATTATTTTCACATTGCATTTTCTGCTGTAATCATTTGTGTTCCTAACCACATCATATGCCGCACTTGGACCATTGGCACTAAATCAATACCGCACTATAGCCCGTATAATAACAGCCGAATGTTTTTCCCCTATACCACAACCTCAATAACACTTCCATTTTCTTTCTCCATTCCGCAAATATAGATACAGAGTTATTACGCTATGACTAATATGTTTATAGTTTTCTTTTATAGATTTGCATGTGATTGATTAGTTCATTTGCGGTTAATTAGGCCAGCCAGATATACAGCCATGCTTTGAATTAGCGTGAGTTGTACTGAAGCTAATTTGAGTGCTGTATTTATGAATGTGTTTCAGTATTGGGGTTTAGGCTGTAAATTGTGGCGCTTTTGGAAATAGAGTGGACGTTGCCAGTGGAGATGCCAGCGCCCATAAAACTCCTCCTTTATTGAGGTCTTTATTATGTTTCACAGTTTTCTAGCCTGGCCGGTCCCTCTGCGCGTATGCCCTCTGAAGGTGACTGTAAAGTAGATTTCTGCATTTTCTTAACCCACATTTAACCACAGATCTGACCCGTTAAAAGTGCGTTGTGTAACTTTTCTGGTGTAGGACCTGTCAAATGCTTTTCCCCATGGAGATATTATTCATTTGTCTGCAGTGTTTTACAGTATAGTATGAAACCTTTCTATCTTCAAGGAAACCAAACCAGACCAAGTTACAGGTCAGATCTGGCAGAGCAATGACGTATTCATAGAACTAGCAAGTGATGGACGGCCAAACGAAAAGCTACATAGTGCACCTTTAATACACTGTTCACATAAATATAAACTTAAATGTACACTGCGTAACTTTTCTGGTGGAGGATCCAGAAAAAGGCATTTTGATTGTGACCGGAGTCGCCTCGCCACAGATATGACCTGTAACTTGGGGCCTGTTTACATGAGAACGCTTGCGGGTAAAAACTGCTAAATATTTTATTGGAAGTGCCTTTCGTTTAGACTGTGACGATGTTTTTGGGGCTGAAAATGCAAAAATCTGAAACAACTCTCCAGAGTGGAAAAGTTGAATACGCTCCACCGTAGCGGTTCAGTCTACACTGCCCAAGACGCAAAACTCTGGTCAGATCTACTCACATCACGTATGCGTTTATGTTCCATACATACAGCACACAGAAACAAACATGCCAGATCATTTCCATGCATCGGACCTTCAAGCTTCTCTGGCAGCTCTAATAAACTTAAAGGAGGCATCCCAAAAAATGTACAGAATATGCAGAGATACTATTAGTGAACATAGAAGGATCTGCAATCACCTCTGTCAAATTGTGGATGCACCAGTTCGTCACAGGCGAGCCAGACACAATGAACAAGACCTGGGAGAACCATTCGATGGTGGGACAACTTTGTGGAAGGAGTAATTGATGAAAATGCGTGGCGTGAAAACTTCCGTATGTCCAAAGATGCCCTTGCTCTTAAGTACAAGCATACCCAATCGAATTCCACACACTTTTGTGAAAAACACTCGTCTAAACGCAGAATAAAAAGTGAAGATGCAACGCCACTTTTGCATCTTCTGTTCAGACCTTCGTCATATAAACGTAACCTTGGTCTGGTTTGGTCTCCCTGAAGATAGAAAAGGTTTAATGCCATACTGTGAAACATTGCAGACAAAGCAATAACATCACCATTGAGACAAGCAGATAGCAGCCCTGTCACCAGAAAAGTTACACAATGCACCTTTAACGTAACCTGTTACAAACACATAGGCCATTTAAAATGTTTCACACAGTAACATAATTCCAATAGTTTAATTTATCTTTTTACATCCACCTAAAATCAAACATTTAACCTCATTTTGTTTCATATTTTGTCTCATAAAACACCCCTTTTATCTTTATTAGATGTTTAACAGTTTTCTAGCCCGGCCCTTCGGCGCGCTTGCCCTCTGAAGGTGACTGTAAAGTGGATTTTTACACATATTTAACCTATAGCCTCTCCTGTCTTCACCTACTTGCTGTGGGCGTGTATGTTTTCACAATGTTCCTCTATACCTATCTCCCCGGGTTCTTGTTTTGCAATTATGTTTTGAAAGTTGCCAGGTAATCTTGAGTATAAGAGCGTATATAGGGAATAAGGGTCTTTTGGAGGGTAC